CTGAACAGAGACAAATGAGACTGGAGCGCAGGGCCATAGGATGAGGAATGCCGGCAGCCACCAGAGCTGGGGATGGGCAGGAGCAGAGTCCCCCTCTGAGGCCCCAGAAGGAAGTAGCCCTGACGACGCCTGGATTTCCGCCTTCTCAGCTCCAGAACCAAGAGGGAGCACACTGCTGGTGTTTTTGGCCCCCCAGTTTGTGGTGATTTGTTCCACAGCCCCTAAAACACAAATGCAACCATTTGGGAATACTCAGTCACAAGCAACAAGAATCCCAGCGGCCATCTCCACGTGGCTGCACGGCCGAGGGAGAGCATGCCCAGGACTCGTGCAGGAAAGCAGGCAGGCTCTGTAGCCTTCAGTGAAACATTCGACCAGAACCGGGTTGTGTGGGCCCCGCGGCGTCCAGAGAGCCTGAGAGATGAGTCATTGGGTTCTAGCCTGGAGGAAGAGGCCTGCAAGACGTCTCAGGGGCTCTGCCGCCTTTCCCAGGAGCTGTGTCCCTCTGGTGGGACGCCACCCCTGCCCTCACAGCCACCCAGTGCATGACCCCTGCGTCCAGCCTGTCCCTGAGAAACAGACTTCCTCACCTCCCTCAGCCTCCTCCCTCATCAAATATTTGTCTGTGACATTATCAAGGATCAAACCGGTTTGGTCCGGGAAGTGTTTGTGCAGTGCAGGAAACGCGGGCAGGGTGAAGGGGCCTGGGCTTGCCAGCCAAGCTCCTCGCTCTGAGCCTCGGTTTCCCTTCTGCAAAGGGTGGAGGTCTCGTCAGGTGCTGAGTGAGGCTCCTCCTCCTCCTTCAGTTTCCTGCTCCTGCTGAGGCCCCCACCAGCTCCCAGTGTCCCCAGGCGGCCGTGGCAGGGACCCTGAACTGCGCGTGGCGGGGGCTCCTCGCTCTGCAGCCCCCTGACTGCCTCACCGTGCACATCCGCCTCTCACATCAGTGGCCACGTGGACCTCAAAAGGACAAACCTGACAGTGTATCTCGAACTGAAAATCCTCCAGACCACTGACCTGGCGCAGCGGGATCACCTGGGAGGCACTGAAAGGGGCAGCTCTGCCCGGGTGCGGCCCACCCAGGAGCTCAAATGTGTGGCTGGCACTGCGAGGCCCAGAACTACAGGATCAAGCCCCCGTGGGGCCGGCCTGGGGGCCCTTCCCTGGTGGTGCCCTCCTCCCCCTCCAGCCCGTCTCCACGCTGGACCCCCACTGCCCATCCTAACTTCTTGATTCCCTAGAGAGCCGGTTCTCTGTACCTCATTCCTCACTGTCCGACCTCCCAAGGCGCCGGCTCCTCCAAGCCCACCTCCCACTCCACCCCACCGCACTCTCCAAGTGCCCTGCCTGGGCCTGGCTCCCTCCGCCCCGCCCAGCACAGGCCCCACCCCCCCGTCCTGGCCTCTCTGCTTCTCCCCACCCCAGTCGCCTCTCCTTCCTCACCCCCCTCCAAGCACAAGGCGCCCTCTGTGGCTAGTGACCCCGACGCCAGGGTCCCAGCCTCGCTCATCATGCATGCCCCAGCCCAGCGAAGGGACTGGGAGGCTCAGGTCAACTTACGAGGGGCCTTCTGTGGCATCTGCTGAACACAGACGTCCAGAGAAGGCTTCATCTGGTCCAGATTCCAGAGGACAGAGGAGTCACTTCCCGAGCTGTTTCCACGACACTCAGGACAGGCTGGGCAGGCTAAGCCTTACCTGCCCCACCACGTAACTTGTGCTTTCCTGAAACCTCCTGACCCCCACCTGAAACCTGCCTGCCCATCCCCCTGGTGAGAGCAAGGCCTTGTCAAAACAGGGCCACATCCCGGCTCTCCTGGGGGTTGACTACTGGGTCCCTTCCTGTCAGCAGTTGCTCTTTAACCTGGTTAACATGTAGAAGCTTGTGGTTTGAGCTCGCTCTTCATCTGGCCTCTTTTTTTTCTTTGAGACAGAGTCTCCCTGGCCCCCAGGCTGGAGTGCAGTGACATGATCTCGGCTCACTGCAACCTCTACCTCCCCGGCTCAAGCGATCCTCCTGCCTCAGTCTCCTCGGTAGCTGGGATGACAGATGTGTGCCACCACGCCTGGCTAAATTTTGCACTGTTAGTAGAGACAGGGGTTTGCCTGTTGGCCAGAGTGGTCTCGAACTCCTGACCTCAAGTGACCTGCCTGCCTCAGCCTCCAAAAGTACTGGGATTACAGGTATGAGCCACTGTGCCCAGTCTTATCTGGCCTCTTAATGCTAAGCATGGGAGGAGTCCAGTGCCCGGATGCCTGGGTCAGCCTGACAGTGCCAGGAGACCAACTGGGAGCTTGTGGGAGAAGGCAGGACCCTCCTCAGGCGCACAGCCCCAGGGGAGGCCAACCCCTGCTTTCTCCGATCCCGCCCTGTGTGGGAACACCAGTTGTTAGATGTTTGCAGGAGAGCTTAAACTGAGGGCATTTTGGCTGAGGGCACGAGAACTTTCCTTTCCCAAATCCGCCCTGTTCTAAAGGCCACCCTCCCAGCTCCCACGCTGCTGCAGGCACCACAGAATGGCAGAATCTGCCCAGAGGCTGAGCTCCCAGCCCTCCTGGATTGCCGATGCCTCGTGTCACCCCAGGACCCCATAGCTCTTGCTGCTGTAAAGAAGACCCCAGAACGCCCAAGTCTGAAGGGTGGGAAGAGAAAAGATCCCAACCTGGTCAGGGACAGAAAGGTTTTTTTGCATGATACAATTCACAATATCCTTTTGGGAAGAAACCAGTGTTCTAGATATATGCCATTTCATTAAATTTTGAATAGAGTGACGTCTGGGGAGTAGCTCCCTCCCCGACATGGCACCCGCAGCTGACGAACATCAGGCTCCCAGAGGTCCTGGCCCTGGTGCTCTTGTGTGTGCGTCTAGCAACGTGAGCCAACCACTTGGATTGCAATCTCTGCAAAGATCTTTGTGGAGAGGGAGGCCTCTGGGTGTGAGCCCACTTTGACCTCTGTACCACATTTAAACTCATCACTTTGAAAAAGCACATGTTCGTAACTAAATGTTCTGAGAACATTCTTTTTTAGCGCAGAGGTGGGACACGCAGGTGTGAGAGCGCCTGTGTAGACCAGCCCTGCTGCCTTCCTCCCAGGGCACACAGAGCGCTCCAGCCGCCTCAAGAGCAACTCCCCCGAGATGATAGTCATGACCCCTGCAGCAACATTCCTGAATAAAGCCAGAACAAGTTTCTCTTTAACCAGTCCTCTGACTCAGAGGTCTGAGTAGAACCCTTCCTTGGAAAATGTGGCCCCACTCTTGAGAAGTGTCTTGAGGGGGCTTGTCCTCAGAGTTACCCAGTGAGTTACTCCAGCAGGGGCAGCCTGGGTGGTTGGATGCCACTCCAGCGGCCTGAATGGGTCGGGGGGTGCAAGCGGTTTCTACCTGATGTCCTGATCCTTCCTCCCACAGTGGTGACAGATTAAAGTGAATGGCTGGGCGTGGTGGAGTGCCCCTGTAGTCCCAGGTACTAGAGAGGCTGAGGTGGGAGGATCACTTGAGCCCAGGAGTTGGAGGCTGCAGTGAGCCGTGATTAAGCCCCTGCACTCCAGCCTGGGTGACAAAGCAAGACGCTGTCTCTAAAAATAAATAAATGAGGTTGGGCATGGTCCAGGCTCATGCCTGTAATCCCAGCACTTTGGGAGGCCGAGGTGGGCAGATCACTTGAGCTCAAGAGTTTGAGACCAGCCTGGCCAACATGGTGAAACCTCATTTCTACTAAAAATATGAAAATTAGCCGGGCGTGGTGTGCACGCCTGTAATCCCAGCTATTCAAGAGGGTGTGGCAGGATAATCACTTGAACCAGGAGGCAGAGGTTGCAGTGAGCCAAGACTGTGCCACTGCACTCCAGCCTGGGTGATAGAGTGAGACTCTGTCTCAAAATATAAATAAACATAAATAAATAAATAAAAATTTTAAAACAGAGTGATGACCAGACTGGCCAACAAGGTAAAACCCCATCTCTACTAAAAATACAAAAAAAAAAAAAAAAAATAGCCTGGTACGGTGGCACACACCTGTCACAGCTACTCGGGAGGCTGACGCCGGAGAATCACTTGAACCTGGGAGGCAGAAGTTGCAATGAGCCAAGGTCACGCCACTGCACTCCAGCCTGGGCAACAGAGCGAGACTAAGTCTCAAATATATATATATGTATGTATATATATACATATATGTATAAAACACAGTGTATGCCCCGCCTGAGGAGCACTGCCTCTGAGACAGGGAGCCTCCTATATTCTTCCCCGCTCCTCTGGTGGAGGTGGTAGGACGATCGTCTGTCCCGTGCAACCTTATCCCAAGAGGGAACTGCCCAGCTGAGGCGTGAGTGGAACAGACCTGTCCCTGCTCACAAAGGGTGAGCCTCCACTGCAGGACACCTGGACAGAGGCGACGTGTCCTGAGAAAGCCAGCTCTTGTAAGACTGGTGGCTCCCATCTGTGTTGAGCCACAGCCGGCGGGGGCAGTCCCGGTGCGGCCCATGAGCTGGTGGAGGCTGTGTCGGGAAAGGTTAGACACTCGCTGGAGGCTGACGCTCTGGAAGATCTCTACCGAGAGAGAGCCTGTGGGCGTGGGTCTGCTTTGACAGGCCTCCACCTCCATGCTCGCCAGGGCTGTCTCAGCTTCCCAGAGACACAGACCCTCTGAGTGCCTCCGCTATAGAGACGGGGAGGGATTCGAACGTGCCTGAGACCTGAGTCCCCGACTCTGCCCAGAGGTCCCAGGAACCTTTGTGCTGTCTAAGCTCTGCGACTGCTCTGGGTTTGATAAGTGCCGAGGCTCAGAAACAACACCCAGCGTGGATGCCTCCGAAGCAAAACTTTCTCCAGCCCCTCCTCCCTGAGAGGCTTCCCCAAGATGGGTCATAGAAACCAGAACCTCTTGTCCCCAAACCCAGCCATAAAACCCAGAACTCCGACTCCAGTTCTCCACCCCCTCCCCTTTCTGCATAGAAACCAGCCATAAAGAAACACTCTGGGCTGCTTTATCTGACTGCAGGTCACAAGACCTCAATTCCAGAGAGGGTCCTGGCCACACCTAGAAGGAAGGAAAGCTGCCCCGAGGCCCAGAGGAATCTGTCCCGACAGGCCGGGCCGGGCTGTCCTCCTGGTCTGCCCGCGTCAACCTGACTTTCGTGTGCGATCCTATTTCCATGCTGTGTTTGCAGCCATGGACCGTTTCCCCCAGATCCTTGGGTCTTCATCCTGAAGGCTGCCGTGCCTCATAAGCTACGATCAGATACGTCTCTGGCGCTTTTCTCCTCTGAATCTGCCTTTTGCCCACTGATTTTCAGCCAGCTCCCAGAGGATGAAGGGGAGCTTTCTGCTCGGCTCCACAGGGGAGGAGTGAGGAGGCTGCGGTGGAAGCTGCGCCGCTGAAGGACACAGGGCGGCGGGAGCAGAACCGTGTTCACACACATGCCCAGCAGGAATTCACTCAGACATCTCCTCGTGTCTGCAGGCTCAGTGCCAGCACCCTCTGATACCAACACACAGGGCCACAGGGTCACCACTCACTCCACACACACTCACCCTGTGCCCACTTACCCAGGGAGGGCCAGGAAGGAGGACACCACTGTGACTCACTGATGGCCCCAAGACACAGGGGAGCACTGTAAAATGCCGGAGGCGGCCCACACCCTGGGCCGTGGCTGGGGGAAAGTTCCAGAAAGGGCATCACGGCGATGCATTTCATCAGAACCGAGCACACGCATGCGGAGGGGCAGGACTGCCTGAATGTTCCAGCCCCGCTGTCCCACCCTCTGTGTCAATATGAGGCCGCCTTATAAAGCACCAAGAGGCTGCCAGCGGGACATTTCTCAGCCCTGCCAGCCCCTGGAAGGAAGGGGTCGGAACCCGGCACCATGACGGAACTGGAGACAGCCATGGGCATGATCATAGATGTCTTTTCCCGCTATTCGAGCAGCGAGGGCAGCACGCAGACCCTGACCAAAGTGGAGCTCAAGGCGCTGATGGAGAAGGAGCTCCCCGGCTTCCTGCAGGTGAGCCCAGCTGGACAGCGCAGGACTTCGCGGCGGCTGCAGGGAAGTGGAAGGTGTGGCCGGCAGAGGGCAGACGGCTGCAGGGGGGTTGGCGGCAAGGGGGGCAGATCCTGAAGGACGCTAGATGCCCAGCCAAGGAACCAACCCACCTTGGCATCAAGGCGGGGGACACCGGAGCATCTGAGCAGAGAGAGGGTGTGGTCAGCTTGATCCTTGAAACATGGAGTTGACCCCAGTGTATTAGTGACAGGCGTGGTGGAGGAGTGGGACTCAAACCTGTGGTGGGGGCGGGGGAAGAATGCAACCCAGGGCTGTCCCTGAGGCCGAGTCCTCCAAGGCTGCTGGCCATAAACGCCCCAGCCCCACCTCCCACTTGCCCGCCCTCCCTGCTCCCATTCCCAGGCCCCTTGTTGCCTGGTATTAGTGGGAGCGGCAGGAAGGACAGGAGGAGGCTCTATCCTGGCACCTGTCCGCACAGAGCTGGGGGCCTCCCTTGGGCTCCCTGCCAGGGAGGAGCCACTGGCCTGAGCCTCACAGGAGGCCCCTCGGGGAGGCTGGGACCAGCTTCCTTCCACCGCCCAGGGCAGCCTCCGTCCAGGCCAAACAGAGGCCCTCCCCTCTCCATCTCGACTTCTTTCTCACTCCCCCACTTTCTTCCTTCCTTACCCTCCCCTTCGGGCCCCACCAGACTCTGCCTACCTGCCCTCTATAAGAGGCTGACCCACACAGATGCTGCTCATCGAAAATGAGAGCTTCAAAGACACAAAGCACTTCAGAACATTGTGTTTTTTGAGATGAGGTATCACTCTGTCACTCAGGCTGGAGTACAGTGGCAGGGTCACAGCTTGCTGCAGCCTTGACCTTCCTGGGCTCAGGTGATCCTCCCACCTCAGCCTCCAGAGCAGCTGGGACTACAGGTGCATGTCACCACGCCTGGTTCATTTTTTTATTTTTTCTAGAAACAAGATCTCACCATGTTGCCCAGGCTGGTCTCGAACTCCTGGGCTCAAGCAATCCGTCCACCTTGGCATCTCGAAGTGCTGTGATTATAGGCATGAGCCCCAATGCCTGGCCTAGCATTTTCTAAATGTAAATGCTGTAAAGATATCTTTTAAAAATAAAGTTCTGTTTGTGGTAGAAAATGTAAAAACAGGTAAGTACGGAGGGAAGAAATCCCTCCTGGAATACAGACGCTCCCTCTCCCTTTTAGCCTTTTCCCCAGGTGAGTGGGATTTATATGCAATTTAATTTCTTTTTGAACTTAACTTACATCGATTCTCAAACTCTGATGCTCATTGAACACCCCAGCCCCAGGCTGGGAACTCTGGCATGGGGCTCAGGGTGCTCTGATAATGATCAAGGTTTTAGAACTGAACCCAGGACTTTGATCCAAGACACTGGGGTATGGGGAGGGGCAGGTGCAGGTGTGCTGGGAACACACTTTGAGAAGCAACGTCTAAGCTGGGGATCCTCAAACCTGTGTGACATTACAATTACCTAGGGTAGGCCCTGGGTGCTCGTCTCATCCCTTTGCTGAAGCCCAGCAGAGCTGGAGTCCGAGAACAACGTCCGCCTGCGGGTGGGGCTGCGCTGGCCTTGTGGCTCTATCTGCTCCAGGCCCAGCCCGATGCCCCGCACAGTTGGACGAGGTGACTGTCCGGCTACAGACTTCATAAGCAATCACTTGAAATGGCCGCAGGGTATTGCGACGTGGCCATACCACGATTTGTTTGCTACTGAATTTATACTTCCCTGCCTTGCTTTTGCTATCACAAGCCATGCTGTCGTGAAAGTCCTCACGTACACAGCTGTGTCTTGTTTCAGCTGCTCGGTTTCTACCGATTTTAATTGTGTTTTTTTCCACCTGGACACACGGCTCTCTGGCCCAGGGCTGGGTTGTCAGCGCCCCCTGCTGCTGCTGCTCAGATCTGCATCCTGGCCCCACTTGGTCCCATAGTGAGGACACTCTGCCATCAAATGGGTAGGCTCTCAGAGAGCCCTGCCGGCCTGGCCTTCTCAAAGAAGACCTGAGAGGCTGGGACTCCAAGCCAGGGTGCCCAAGCAGAGAGGAATAAAGGGCCTCTGTGCTCGCTCCACACGTGGGGCTCAACCCTGGCTTTCCCTGTCTCCCTGTGTGACCTAGGGGCAGGTCCCTTGGGCCCTCTGGGCCTTATCATCTTCATCCATAACAGGGCAATGCCTCTGCCTTGCTTGGGGGTTGTGAGGATTTCATGTTTGTGTAAGCGGCTAGTTCAGTGCCAGCACGAGATGGGATGCCTATGGGGTTAGCAGTGCACAAGAACTAGAGCAGAGAGTGGACGCATTTCCTGAGAACAACCGTCCCTGTAAAGCACATTACAAATCCAAAGACAAACCCCTGCAAAAATTCAAAACAAAACTCCCTCCCGCATAGCACAACGCAATTCAAATTTGGTCTAAAAGCATTACAAGTTAGTTCATGTCATGCCAGATAGCTCAAGGCAGCTCACAACTTACTCAAGACCAGGAATGCCATGTGTCTGGTATGCACAGCTGGCCCTGGCCCTGAGCCTGCCTGACAGCAAAGGTGGCACAGATGTGGGTGCCCTCCTCCTGCCCAGCAGCGGTGCTTGGTGGAGGCTGAGGCCCTGCAGACGCCGTCACCGCTGACCTTGGGCCTCTCTCTCCTCTAGAGTGGAAGGGACAAGGATGCTGTGGATAAACTGCTCCGGGACCTGGATGCCAACGGAGATGCCCAGGTGGACTTCAGCGAGTTCATTGTGTTCGTGGCTGCAATCACGTCTGCCTGTCACAAGTACTTTGAGAAGGCAGGACTCAAATGATGCCCTGGAGATGCAGCTTCCTGGCAGAGGCATGGTCCCAGGCTCCCCAAAAGCATTTGTTGGCAATTACTCCCCTCACCGGAGCCTGCTTGTGTCCCTCTGATTAATAAACGCTCATGAAATTGATCGTGGTCTCAAAGAAACTGGCTACTTCCTCAAAACCCCAGTGTCCTCTTCCCACAAAACGGAATTCACTAATTAAATTTGTCATTTCATTATTCAATGTCTGTCTAGAGTAGTGAGACAGATGAAGACAGGGCGGTCCATAAGAATCCATTCGTTGGCCATCTTCTGAGTGCCCACTGAGACACCGTCCCACCTGGGTCGTGTGAATGCCACCATGTCGCAGACCTGAGGGAGGCTCAGGTCTGCACATCCATGTATTCATCTACCTAGTGATTCAGTCAGTCAGCAGCCACTCACTGAACCTGGGCCCCTCCACCTCTCCAAACAGCATGATTTTTTCAAGTAACATACTTTATTTATTTGTTTGTTTGTTTGTTTGTTTGTTTTTGAGCCAGAGTCTTACTCTTGTCACCCAGGCTGGAGTGCAATGATGCAATCTCAGCTCACTGCAAGCTCCATCTCCCGGGTTCAAGTGATTCTCCTGCCTCAGCTTCCCGAGTACCTGGGATTACAGGCGCATGCCACCACGCCCAGCTAATTTTTGTATTTTCAGTAGAGATGAGGTTTTATCATGTTGGCCAGGCTGGTCTCAAACTCCTGATCTCAGGTGATCTGCCCACCTCAGCCTCTCAAAGTGCTGGGATTAGAGGTGCGAGCCACCGCACCCAGCCAATTACATACTTTTAATGATACGATACTGTATTTTTGCCACCAAGACCAGGAAACACTATAATGGAGAAAAAATGAATTACAAGAGAGCATTAGAATCATCGTGAACCACTGGTCACGTCACCCGTGTCGTTTTATGACCTGACGCTGGGGGCACCCACAGTGACTGCAGTGAGGTCTTGGGTGACAGGTAGGAAACGGCATCTGGTTTTAGGACTCCTAACATTTTCTGAACACCCAGCATTTAAAGCCTCTTCCTAGCCGGGTGCAGTGGCTCACACGTGTAATCCCAGCACTTTGGGAGGCTGAGGTGGGTGGATCACCTGAGGTCAGGAGTTTAAGACCAGCCTGGCCAACATGGTGAAACCCCATCTCTACTAAAAACACAAAACAGTAGCTGGGCGTGGTGGCCCATACCTGTAATCCCAGCTACTCAGGAGGCTGAGGCAGGAGAATCGCTTGAACCTGGGAAGCAGAGGTCGCGGTGAGCCAAGATCACCACCATTGCACTCCAGCCTGGGTGACAAGAGCAAAACTCCATCTCAAAAAAAAAAAAAAAAAAAAAAAAAGAGCCTCTTCCTATGTTTGAAGACATTTTCACGAGAGAATATCTGTCACCAAAAGATCCTCAACTTGGAGGTGGGCACAATGATATGAGGCTTTGGTGTATCCCTCTTTGGGGAGCGGATCGCAGATTGCAAATGTTTTGGCTAGAGACAGTTGTGTTAGGTTAGATGGGAGCAGATACACACATTTAAATAAATAAAAGCTAATAATGGGGAAGACGTCAAGTTAATAATGGGGAAAACGAGGGTGGACTGCCAGAATGGAAACCTTTTTCTCTTTTTCCTTTGAGACAGGCTCTTGCCCTGTCACCCAGTCTGGAATTCGGTGGTGCTATCATGCTCATTGCAATCTTGAACTCCTGGGCTCAAGCGATCTTCCCATCTCAGCCTCCCAAGCAGCTGGAACCACAAGTACACACCAGCAAGGCTGGCTAATTTTTTTGTAGAGACAGAGTTTTGCTCTATTGCCAAGGCTGGTCTTGAACTCCTGGGCTCAAATGATCCTCCCGCCTCAGCCTCCCAAAGCTATGCCTGTAGATATGACAGGCATAAGCCACCGGCCCAGACTGTTTTTCTTTTCTCTTGCTGTTGACCAAATTAGCTACCATCCTGCAAATAACAAATCGCCCAGCTTATCAGTGTTGGGGGGAGGCAGGGCCCTCACTTCCTAACCTCTCCCATAGCTGGGATGCAAGCACCTGACCTGGCCTCTCTCTCCCAGACTCTATACTTATCCCAGCTTGGAATCAGACAACTGACACAAACAGGCAGGGCCCTGTAACCCCCTTATGGGTTTTGCAGCAGCACCATATGAGAGGTTTCTGGCTAAGCCGCCATGAACCTCATCCTCCAGGGCTCTTAAACGAGAGAAGTCTTTAGTAAATTAATCACCGAGGCTGGATTTCTGTGCTTTGTGACTAAGAACCCAGACTACTGGAGCAGGAAAAGAGTATGCCACTTCCTCCAGGTGTCCTTCCTGGATTGTCTCTAACGGGTCTCGGTACTTCCTGACCTCTCCTTATGAAGACAACAGGGCCCATCCCTCCTCAATCTTCTTTCGTCTCATCCTAGCTTCTTACCCTCCTCCAAATGAGAGATTACGTCTGGTTTGGAATCCAATTCCCTGCTCCAAGGGACCAGCCTCCACAGTGCTCCATCTTCTAGTTCTGTTCAGGGTCTTCTGAGCAGGATGCAGATTCTTGTTCCTGGAGATGATCAAGTCCACAGTCGCTTCTCTGGAGTTCATACCAGCTTCGCATGAAGCAAAAGCCAGGTCCAAACAGTAGTTTTGTTTGGTTTTGTTTTTGAGACAGGGTCTCGCCGTTGCCCAGTCTGGAGTGCAGTGGCACGATCACAGCTCACTATAACCTTGATCTCCTGGGCCCAAGTGATCCTCCCACCTCAGTCTCCCGAGTAGCTAGGACTACAGGCCAATGCCACCACACCCCACTAATTTTTTAAATTTTAGCAGAGACGGGGTTTCACCATGTTGCCCAGGGTGGTCTCAAATTCCTGAACTCAGGGGATCAGCCTGCCTCAGCTTCCCAAAGCGCTGGGATTACAGGCGTGAGCCACCACGCTTGGCCAACAATTCTGAATTAAAATTGGAAACTTACAGAAATAACAAACTTACGGAAAAGTTAGAAGCATAGTACAAGGAACTATTTTTCTGAATTATTTAAGAATAAGCAGCAAAATGTGGTGGCTCACGCCTGTAATTCCGGCACTTTGGGAGGCTGAGGCAGGTGGATAGCCTGAAATCAGGAGTTCAAGACTAGCCTGAGCAACATAGTGAAACCCCGTCTCTACTAAAAATACAAAAAATTAGCTGGGCGTGGTGGTGGGCGCCTGTCATCCCAGCTACTAGGGAGGCTGAGGCAGGAGAATCGCTTGAACAGGGGAGGCAGAGGTTGCAGTGAGCCAAGATGATGGCATTGCACTCCAGCCTGGGCAACAAGAGCAAAACTCCCTCTCAAAAAAAAAAAAAGAATAAGCTGATGCACCACCCCGAATGCATTAGTGTGTACTTCCTCACACAAGATTCTCTATATAACCAAAATGCTACCATCAGTTAGAAAATTAACACCAATACATCACTATCATCGAATCTTAAGCCCTCATTCAAGTTTGCCAGTTGTTCTAATAATGTCTTTTATAAAACAAAAAGATGACTTTTATAGCAAAAATAAAAGCATCATTTTTTGCATTTAGTTGACAAATCTCCTTGGTCTTCTTTAATCAGGTACAATTCCTCAGTCTTTCCCAGACTTTTATGACTTTGACACTTTTGAAGATCACAGGCTTCCATTATGTAGAATTTCCTTCAGCTGAAATTCGTCTGATGTTTCCTCATGATTCGGCCCAGCTCACGTATCTTTGGCAAGAATTCTCCTGGAAGTGATGCAGTATTCTACTCACTGCATGTATCAGACGGCACAAACTTTTCATTGGTTCCATTGCTGATCGTGTTTACTTTGATCACGTAAGATGGTGCTTGAAGAAACAGCCAATACCAGAAGTGGGACAAGGAGAGTACAAGATGTATCCAGAGCATCTGGCTGTGACACAAAGCAGGGTGTGTTCAAAGAACAACTGGAATATGTCGAAGACACAGCAGCCAGCTTGAATGGGCTCCCACCAGTCAAATCAAAGGCTTCTCCACTACAGAGTTATTTTGTTCACTTTTTAATAATACTTTTTTTTTTTTTTTTTTTTGAGATGGAGTATTACTCTGTCGCTCAGGCTGGAGTGCAATGGTGTCATCTCGGCTCACTGCAACCTCCACTTCCCGGGTTCAAGCCATTCTCCTGCCTCAGCCTCCTGAGTAGCTGAGATTACAGGCACCCGCCAACCATGCCCGGATAATTTTTGTATTTTTAGTAGAGACGGGTTTCACTATGTTGGCCAGGCTGGTCTCCAACTCCTGACCTTAAGTGACCTATCTGCCTCGGCCTCCCAAAGTGCTAGGAGTAAAGGCTGAGCCACCATGCCTGGCCACTAATAAATATTTTTAGAGAAGAATTTTGGAACTATGTATATATTCTGTTCCTCATCAAGCATTTGATTTATTTGTGAACTTCTGGTTTCCCATATTATTCAGCGGGTTGTACCTGTTACTAGCATTATTTGTTCTGATGCTCAAATTGTCACTGATCTGATCGATCGGAGCCAATTTCAGCTGGCTTCTATTACCCTCTGACATGTTCCCAGCATTCTCTGAACACATCCTTGCCTTCTGTCATCGCAAGATGTTCTGGACATATCTTGCACTTTGCTGGCCCTAGCTCTGGAACTGGCCATTTCTCCACGCAGTGCTAGTTTCTTTTAGTGGAAAATGCTATTTAGAAGCCAAGAACTGGAAGCTAGGTGTGCTCACTGTTACTGAAGTGTCACTGCTCCCAGACTCTCTTAATGGAAAGTAGGGAATATTTGTAAGTATATACGTAACTTTAGATAGCTACACATACTTATAGTTCTATATCTTATAGATATCTAAAGAATGTAGCTGGGCCGGGTGCGGTGGCTCAAGCCTGTAATCCCAGCACTTTGGGAGGCTGAGGCGGGTGGATCATGAGGTCAGGAGATCGAGACCATCCTGGTCAACATGGTGAAACCCCGTCTCTACTAAAAATACAAAAAATTAGCTGGGCATGGTGGCACGTGCCTGTAATCCCAGCTACTCAGGAGGCTGAGGCAGGAGAATTGCCTGAACCCAGGAGGTGGAGGTTGCAGTGAGCCGAGATCGCGCCATTGCACTCCAGC